CTTGCCTTGCGATTTTGGTCAAAATAGAAGGGTTTTGATTCCGCGTTGAAAAATGTACCGTGTCCTACTGTTGTGACCTTTACCTACCTCCAGCGTGCTGATCCAGCGTGCTCATTCTAGTGAACTAAACTGTTCTTTCATTCTAAAGAAAAACTCGGTTCAAGCAACCGACCATGGGAATTAGTGTATTTGCAGCACTTTCACTCAACCTTTTACACTGTACTTGGTATCAATCGATAGCTCTCTTCAATTGTCGATTTAACAAGCCCTTAACTGTCGCAAACAAGCAAGTGTAACAGATTTTATTGAGTGTTCAGTGTAGCTTCTTTTTTTTACGACGCCTTGCTTCTTTTTCAACTGACGTCGGCAGCAACATGAGCAGGAAGGATCCAGCCAATGAGGTTGCAAAGATCAGAGCCGACCATGGCTTAACTAGATTAACACAACAAGAGAGAGCTGAGAGGCCTCATCCTAACAAGGGGGGATCTGAAGGATATGATGGGCATGTTAGACTAGCAGAACTGGCAAGGAAGGAGGATGGTCTTCCTCCTGCTTTTGCTAGTGAATCATCAATCAGAAGGTGGAGGAATAGACTGCACAGATACAGAAAGACAGGCAACAAAGAATGCAAAACCTTGGTTGGTTGGGAGCTCTATGATCTTGAGTTCTATCTATGGATGTATCCAGATGCAAGCCTTGACAACCTTGCAGCCTATGTTTACAACAGGGGAGGGGGGGTCTATACTCGCTCTCAGATTCAAAAGAGACTTGCTGCAATTGGGAAGACAAGAAAGATTGGAGCTACCGAGGCCTACAAAGCCTTTACTCCTGAGAACTTGTTCAGGGCCCAGATCTTTTGGAATGAGCCTCCTCCAGTTGGAATAGTTGGTATTCCAAGAAGGAAGTTCATTGACGTGGATGAGTTTGGTATGGAGATCCAAAGAACCAACTGCAAGCGAGGATACTCACTGTCTTGCTTCCGGGTTAGGAAGCCTGGACACTATGTAAGAGGGCAGAAGCTCACTATCTTGCTTGCTGTGGAGCCAGGGGATCCGCGTTTGCCTCCAGCCACTAGAGGAAGTGTGGCGAATCCTAGAAGATGGATCAATGTGATTCAGCAAGCAGGGACCACAGCTCATGTCTTTGCGGATTTCATTGATACCATTTGCAAGGATATTGAGGCCCATCCGGCCCCTGGTGACACTGACGTGGAGAGATACTTCCTCTGGGACAATCTTGGCTCTCATCTAACCACTACAGTTGGTCTGGTGTTTAGATACAGACCAGCGCCAAGGCCAACCCTCTTTCATGCTATCCCGCGTCCTCCATACCAACCCAAGTGGGGACCCATTGAGTATAAGATCCTTGACGTGATCAGTGCTGTTTCTAAGAGCGCATTGAGGGAATGGAACCTAAATGATCTTGAGCAAGCAATCTATAGGGAGGCTGGAAGATCTATCAGAGGTGTTGACAATACCTTTGCTCATTGTGGATACACTGTGGATGGTGTCTATCAGCCTCGCGATGATGATGATTAGCAGTAACAGCAACAACAGCACCTCGATGGCCTCCAGCAAGCAAACTGGAATCGCTGAGTCGTTGCAATGGGCTGGAGGAACCCACTGGAGACTGGCGTGCTGGCGAGTCGACTCCTTCTGGGCCTATCAAATTGAATCCTACTGGAGAAGCTTGGATTCCAGTCCCCTACTGCAGCAGCTTCCCTTGCAGCTCCTCCAGCGAACACTCAATGGATTCGGATGATGGATCGACTAGATGGATTGAATTACAGTCGGTTGAATCGATACGCAAGATCCGTCCTTGCACAGCTCCTTCCTTGGATACTCAATCAATTCGCGGATCGACTACATGGACTGCATACAGTTACAGTCGGTTGAATCGATTGAGATCCAACGCGTGGTCCTTCATCTATCTATCTATCAGTACTATTTGTATACAGTTTATCTTTAGTAAGAATCATATCTACCAAGAGTAGTTGCAATAGACTTGAGCAATACCACAAGGACCAGCAAGCCGCGCGTTTGAGCTCTCCTGGGACTATAGTTTTAGAATGAACTGTAGCGCGTCTGGAATCAGGATGATTCATATCTACTAACTTTGCTAGAGGAACTGCTGTCACTCAGGAGTGTTTCATCAACAGTAAGCTTTGCTACTGGAAGCTTTGCAACTCTTCTTGCTGTGTGTTTTGCTGGAGCAGCAGCAGGGAGACGCTTCCGCGCTGCTGCTACAGGGAGACGCTTCCGCGCTGCTGCTGCTGCTGCTGCTGCTACAGGGGGACGCTTCCGCGCTGCTGCTGCTGCTACAGGGGGGGGGACGCTTCCTGGCTGGCCTCAGACCACACTCCTTCTTCTTCATCCACACCAAGTTATCCACAACCACTTCAGTGTCTCCATAGATATTCCCCATATCTTCAACAGTATTCTTTGTCCCACGAGCTGGTGTATCAGTGGAAGCTGGATTCAACTGTTTCATAATCACTTCAAGAGCATCTTCAGTATCAGGACTGCTCTCATTAGAACAGTATCTCCTGGTAGATACTTGGCGAACCTCGGTAACAAAGGAAGAGGAACCAGCAGCAGCTGCAGGCCGCGCAGGGGGCTTGAGATCACTGAAAGGTGTGCAGTGAGGGACATTAGTAGCGCTTTGAGCAGCGTCTGGGGCTATGAAATACTGCTCTTCTTCATCCACACTACTCAAATCGCCAAGGTCAATAGGACAAGCGCTTGAGCCCTCAGCTGGGGCCTTGTATACAGCAAGACGTTGAGCAAGACTAGAACCATGCTTCCCTGGCAATCTGGAGGAAGACTTGGCCCCATGGAGATTATTCCTGTACTGCCGCCGGCTCCTATCAGAAGCACTGCTTGTAAGAGGCTCCTGTGCTAGCTGCCTTGGCTGCCACTGTCTTGGTAAAGGCTTCTGCTGCTGAGCCTTCAGCTGAGCCGCAAGCCTAGGAGGACAAACACCATTCCTAACCTGATCAATGCTCAGCCCATGAGTGACTGTCCTATCAGTCTTGTTTCCAAATGCTTTCTGCACTGCATTCCGCAACGCCACATTAGATTGAAGATGGATATCATGGGCAAAGCTGTTAGCGGCATAGGCTCCAGCATTCTGCCTGGCCTCAGCAAAGGACTGGCATCCCTCCATTGCTGCTTGAAAGGTCCCCTCCAACACGTGGTGAGTAGAGATATCGTTGATAGCTCCTATTGGATCCTTCTCCCAGCTTGTTGAAGATCTTTTGTTTGGATCAAGAAGAACACCCCTCAGGATATCAGTCTTGATCTTGCACCTCTTGGTGGAAGCAAACCGAACCTTGCATCCGCTGTTGCACAAAGGACAGTGGCAGTCTATTGCGATTCCCCTTTCATCATACTCTAGATGATCAGCACCGGGCTTGCTGCACTCGGGACAGTTCCCTCCATTGGGATCCAAGTTACAAGTGAACTTGCAGCAATAGCAAGCACTCCACACGTCAAAATCCTGGCCATGCCTGGGGTTTATGTTGGTCCTCCCCCTATCATATTCCTTCTTTGCTTTAAGCCACTCCTTGTGTCGAGCCGCGTTCACAGCCATTACATCCTCAAGCTTGTCAGTATCCATGGTAGATATGTTGTTGCATACTGGACAAGGCAAAGGATCAAGCTTCTTGATATCAAACTTGATCCTGTCCTGGATCTTTTGGCCATTCGTCTGCCAATCAATGTACCCCTTCCTGCTCCCCTTGCTGACAGCTTTCTCATCATCCTTCTCCTTCTTCTTCATTGCCTTCTTTATTGCTTTTGCAACCGACTGGAATGCAGCGAGCGTTTCCTCGGTGCTTTTAGTACTCCCCCTCAAGGTCCTTGCTGCTCCTGTTGCTCCTCGCTCCTTCAAGATATCCTTCCTCATCTCCATTGCAGCATGGATGGACGCCAGCTTCCCTGCCACATAGGGTAGCTTCCAGTTCCTTATAATCCTTGCTTTGGTGAGCCCTGTCGTGTTCAGCTCATTGATTAGATCAGTTAGTTCTTCCCTCAAGGGGAAAGCCTTTGTCCCTGGAAAGACAGGGTGGAGATGGTGGGATTTGATCCCCTTGATTTGTATAAGCAGCTCCTTCTTTTCATCCAGCTTGAGATACTTCTTCTTCCTCGCAAGGACCTCATAGGCTTTCTTGTACTCGGGATGGTTTACAGTGGATGGTAGCCTGCCTGGAGCTGGTGGAGGACCAGCAGCTTGAATAGGAAACGCGACCTCTTTAGTGTTCCCCTCTGAATCAACTGAATCATCATCTGAAGAATCCAGCAGCTCATCATTGCTTGGAGGGTCTTTTGCCAGATCTCTAAGCTTTAGGAGACCATCCCCGGCTTCTCTCTCCTGTGTATTCATCCTATCTGCTGGATCGTTGCTCATATTGCTGCTTACCGACGGCGGAAGAAGCAGTCGTCGTGAAAAAGAAGCAAGCTACTGTAACACACTAAAACAATACTTCTACTGGGTCCTTTTCTATGGTTCAAGCGGTGTTCAATCGACAATTGAAGAGAGCTATCGATTGATACCAAGTACAGTAAGAAAGAGTGAGTGAAAGTGTCGAAAATCGACCGATTCCCATGGTCGGTTGCTTGAACCGAGTAGTTTTCTTTAGAATGAAAAAGAACAGTTTATCGTGATGGATCAGCGTGCTGGAGGCAGGTAGAGGTGAAGACACTAGGACACGGTACATTTTTGAACGCGGAATCAAAACCCTTCTATTTTGACCAAAACGGCAAGGCAAGTACCTTGATCCACGATTTTCTACGGGATTTTCTACACAGCTTTGTACCAGGATCCATCCAAAAGACCATCTCAAGCAAGATGCTGAACAGCTGCGGGGCCTGCCAGCGTGCCAATACCGGGGCTAGTACACTTCCTACATAGGCCTACGTAGCTAACGATGGCATCACTAATTTAGAGATCGCATCACTAACTTAACGATGGGAACGTTAAATTAACGTTCCCATGCGCGCGATTAGTCGCGCGATCATTTGTTATGATATCCGTAGTACCAGTACGAGTACGTACGTAYGTACTCGTACGAGTTCTCACGTTACTGAACCCCATACCGTATCAATCATCATCTTCGGTTCCCATACCGTACGATATCCTCCGCCGGAACCCACAAAACACCCATCGGCCATAGGCACCCACCCACCCACGACGCCCGCAACGCACCGCGGTTCTTCGCCATCCGCCCCCCCCTCCCCATTCCTGTTCCCGGCTCATGCCAGCGTTTCCTGTTCGCGGGGGCACCGGCGAGAAGGTTGCCACCCTTCTGCGTCTTGCAACCGCCGCGTTCGCCCTAGCCGCCATCGATGGCACGTCGGCGTTCGCGGGGAACCGCTTCCGGCTTCCCGGACGCCCCCCGCTGCGTCCCCCCGYGCTCTCGCTGGACAGCGGCGGAGCGGACCCGGCCGCCGGATACGAGTCCCTCGACCCCGACGCGAGCCCGGGCTCCTTCCACACACCCTCGCTGAGATCGGCGTACCCACAAGAAACCCCCGCGGGCCTCCGGGGGGAAGCCGTCCGCAGCGCCCTGGTGACCACCGAGCGCTGCATCGGCTGGAACCTGTCGAGCAACGAGGAAACMTCGATGGGGGGACTCCTGGAAATMTCCGGGAGGGGGACCATTGAGTTCCTCAACGGGAAACTCACGCGGGATTTTCGACGGTGCGTCGACCACAAGCACAAGAACGCATACCTAGAAGCGGGCCTGCTGGACGCCAAGGGACGTCTGGTCGACGTGCTGAGGGTGGTTATGGTGGACGACAACCGCCGGGCCCTGGTGCTAACGTCCCCGGGGCATTCCAGCGCCGATCTGACGAAGCGATTGGATCCCTTCGTCTTTCCCATGGACGAGGTAACCCTCACGAACTTTTGCACGGGCGACGGTGAACCAAAAGGCGGCGRCGACCACCGCTCCTTTGTCTTTACGCTGGCCTCRACCCGGTACGAACACGTCCGGAGGGCGGTCCGCGACCAGGCGGGGTTGCCCCTGGCCAAGARCGACATGGTCTTTCCAGCCAGCGGCTCGGAGGGCGTCGTCTGGAACACCCAGCAAGGCGTGGAGATCCTGGTGCTCCCGTCGACKGGCCTTCCATCGATGGCCTGCGTGGGGTAYACCTTCGTGCTGTTCGGGTCCGGGCCAGCCGCGGCGGCCATGGGGAGGGAGGCCTGGGGGCGCCTCACCGGGGAGGACAACCCCGAGGGCCCGGTCGAGGTAGGAGCCCTGGAATACGAGACCCTCCGCATCGAAGCGGGGACGCCGGCCTACGGGCACGAGTTCGGGATCGACCGCGAGAAGACTGCGGCATCGGCAKCGGCATCCGGGGACGACAAAGGCCAGACGAGAACGAAGGGAAGGGGGGCGGGCCCCGCGAAGGCGAGCATCAAAACCACCGGGCCCTACGAGCTGCATCTCGACACGCTGGTAGACCTCGACAAGGGCTGCTACCTGGGACAGGAKGGTGTCGCGTCCGTCCTGAAGAACCCGAGGGGTCCCCCGCGCTCKCTCTACACGGTTGTCTTCGAGGACGAGTTCAACGTCTACGAGCCGCAGTCGAGGGGGGACACGGCGTCGACGGTCGAAAACCTCACGSAGCTCCCCCRGCCCGGCCAGACGCTGTACGCCCTCGGAAGCAACGGGGAACTCAAGGTCGGAACCCTGACCTCCGTGGGGGAAGCCGGAGGGACCGGAAGCCGCTTCACGGCCGGCCTYGCGCTGGTCCGGCGGGCTGGTTCGATCCGGAAAAAGATGGACGCGCTCGGCCTGGAAATACCGAGGGACACGGGCGAYTATTCGAGCGTGGATCCCTCCGGTGCCAGCGGCATCGTCCAGCCTCCTCCTATGGACCCCCTCGATGGCCTAGAGGTAATMATCGAGGGCACCTTCACCGTGGGAATTCTGAACGGCATTCCCAGCCGAAAATCCGGACGGTTTTCCAACATGTTCGACGCGGACATCGAAGTGGAAGGAATCGAGGAAGAATCAGAGCCACCACCGGCTTCCGTGGTGGCCACGMCCCCAAGAACCGAAGCTCCACAAGAAAGCTACGGCGTCACTGACGACGTGGACGACGAAGACGACGAGGAATCCCTGGAACGAATCGAAKCCGAAATGGCCAAGGCGGCCGCAGAAGCAGAGACCGCGGCCGCGGAGGCCAAACGAAAGGCCGACAAGATGGAAGCGCTGAAACAACGCGCCGAGGCAGCCATGGCTAGGCGGAAGCAAAAGGAGGACGAAACGCGAGAAGCAGAAAACGCTGCTGCCGCCGAAGCGGAACGAAAGGCCGAAAAGATGGCCCTTCTGAAACAGAGGGCCGAGGAAGCCATGGCGAGGCGGAAACAAAACAAGGCGCTGGCTTCCGAAGAAAACAAAGAACCARAAGAAGATCCCGCGGCCGCCGAAGCGAGGCGGAAAGCCGAGAAGATGGAGATGCTAAAAAAACGTGCGGAAGAGGCTATGGCAAGACGRAGGCAGAAAAAGAAAGAGGAATAACGGTCTCTCGCTACATTCGACCCCACCCTGTTTGGAACTCAATGAAATTTACATTTTTATAACATWGTTTATCTGGTTTCTCATTATATTCATTTGTATTTACGCTCTAATGTRATATTCTATTGGTTGTTCTTTTCTSTTGAGGTTCGTTTGGATTGTTGTTTGATCACAGGGATTCCTTGCTACGGGAGTAAGGAAGCTTACATARTGGTGCAAGCAAAACAATTATTTTCTGTCACTTGTTTGCTTTTGCCACTRACCGCTAGCTGGAGAGCCAAACYTCCCGTCGCAGAATCGACGGTGTCATCGTCGCAATAGGGACTTTCTGGGATATCGCTGTGGATACTGGTGCTGGGCGGACGATTGCTCGCCTCATCTTCCTCTATGACATTCTTGCCCATTGATCCGTGGATGGTACCAACGTTAGATTCACAAAATTCAGATGTATCGCTTTTGCCGCGTATGGCATGCTGGTGATTGCGCATGCTATTTTCGTTGTTGATATGATTCGTGTTCATCGCTTCATTGCCGTCTTTGTACTTGTCGAAGTAGGCCGAAGATTGAAGCTCGAGTAGCGCAGCAACAAAGCGATGATTTGAATCTTCSTCGATGACACGTTTGCTCTCCGACTCATACATGGTACTATTATTACCATTGGGGGGCTTGGACTTATCACTGTTACTGTTGATGTCATATCCGTGATTGCGTACTCCTTCTTCGTTTCCATTATTCGGTGCCATGGATTTATTGCCGTCGTCGTTTTCGTCAAATTGTGCAGAAGACTGCAGCTCGAGAAGTGTATCAGTGAATCTTTGGTTAATATCTTCGAGATTGAGATCGTCTTGGTGCGGTCGGATGTTTGATTTAGGGACATCATTCGTTATTCTTTCACAAGTGCTACTGTTGTATTCGTTGCAGTTTCCCCGTTCCGTAGCAATTGCATGGTCGTTTGTCGAAAATGCAGCCCTTTKCCGGATCGGTRCATCCCCTTGCCTGCTCGTCTCTGGTGAGAACGACCGATCGGTTGTTTCGATCTCTTTTCCTGGCAAGGAGTTCAAGTCGCAATCGGAGTATAGCGGTYGAGAATCCCCGCCGCTGGCATCTCCTTCACRCAATGGTTCAACCTCTGAACCATGCATAACTGGTGATTTTGGTSGTAAATTCGATGATTCAAAGAAATTCCTGTGAKCTGACAGCTGCGGGGAATATATTCTTCTCGCTTTCTCCCCGTTGATTCTCTCGCTTTCACCAGCAAGCTCGTGTGTGATGATTGCTGAGTCGTTTCTTTCAATTCTTGAACAATCTCGTGCTAGTGAGTTGATACTCGACATGGATAATTTCTGGTAAATAACATCTAGGAGGGTGCTGTTGTCTCCCCGGTAATTGTTGAGATAGGTTTTCGCTTCCTTTTGTTGGGTCTTTTCCTCCTGCATGTCCCTGCGCTGTCGCTCCGTGAAAGTGTCGAGTTTCAGGTCTCCCCGGTAGTTGTTCAGATACATTTTTGCTTCCTTTTGCTGGTTCTTTTCGTTCTGAATGCTCTGTCGCTGTAGTTCGGTAAAGTTGTCAAGTTCCGGGTCTCCTCGGAAGCGATTAAGGTACGTTTTTGCTTCTTTTTGTTTGTTCTTTTCATTTCGAAGAAATTGCCGCTGTTGTTCCGTGAAGTTGTTRAAATTCGATTCTACCGGTGCTTCGGCATCTCGMAATCTAGTAGCTGTTCAAGTCGCAGTATTTGCMATCGTTTGTTCACGATTTATATTTATAACCGTTTTAAARTGAAATAGCGGACAATGTAGCCAGTACGAGGTGAGAAATGAGCCTCGAAATCGGTATGTGATGTCGATATCAAAAGAAGTGGTATGGAAATTGACACATTCAACTCTTACCATGACCGGTAGTCAACGACTGTCTTCTCAGTTGTTCGAGTTCAGCTTTTCTCTCTCGAACAGCTTCGGAGTGACTGAGTATCTTTATGCTGTCTCGATCGCTATTATTCATAAGGGTTGTATCTGTTACGGCAAATGCTTTCATGCCACTTCAAACTTTGTAAAAAGGACTGGAATCTCTGTTCCTGCCAAAAAGAGTTGGTCAGGTTAATCCCGTACCGGTACTCGTAGTGCAACTTACGTAACATAATTGTGACCGTTTGGAACAGTTTGCGAGAAACCTTTCTCAAAAAAATCTTTCGCATTCAAATGATACCTCCTTCCAACAACGACCGTCCCATGACTCCTTTTCTGGAGAGCCCCCGATCGCGCGATTTTTAATACCAAGGCGCGAGAAATTATAACCGCAGAAACAGTTACTGGATAAACAGTTAAGTTTAACGCATTTTAGAATTTTATTTTTTGGGGGTATTCTTGTGCACTTTAGGGGGAGGGCTATCAAAAAATTAATTAACTTTTGTAATTGGGTTAATTAACTTAATTACTCGAGTTATTAACTTTTTTTATCTGAGTTAATTAACTTAATTACTCGAGTAATTAACTCAAGTAATTAATTTGATAAATAACGCGTACTGTACAGTCAGTACTAGTAGTAGAAGAAGAAGTGACACTCGTTGAGTTAATTAACTTAATTACTCGGGTTAATTAACTTAATTGCTCGAGTTAATTACTCTGCTCAATTCAATTAATTAACTTTATTTTTTTATGTTCCCCCAAATAGATATTCGACAAAGCCCCAAAAAGGAGAACCAATTCAACTAAAATTTAACGGTTAGTCTAAATTTACCGTTATACTAAGGCATAGATGTCGCGTGGTATTAAAAAACGCACGATCGGGGGCTCTCCTGCTGTCCAGGTATGATAGTCCCCTAACTGAGAAGCCAGTAGGATAATGTACAGTCAGTACCAGAAACATGTTTTAACGACTAATTAACTTGTTGTTGTAACTACATAATATTACTACTGAACTACTCTTCTGCTTCAGCTCGTGCGAGTAACTCAAGCCCTGAATTGAAACAATCCTGATTGCAAATGATCGAAATTGGAAGGTTACCTCCTTCTCTCATGAGGCGGGCTTTCGTCATACTAGCTATGATGTGGAAGCTTCTTGTAGTTGTTGTCTCCATCCACACCAAGAAGAGATGCTTGTATACAAAAGTGACAAAAACATATTATTCAATGTCTCATGCTTGCACTCATCAAACGCTTCCTCCACATTGGCGATCAAATGATCAATATCCTTYGATCACCTCGTCTTCTTATAGTACTAGTAGTACTGTAAGCTTTGAATTGAATTGAAGAATCCAAGGTCAAGCACATTCAAATCTGGGCTGTTTGGTGGTTAAGTCTTCACAGAAATGTTCCAGCCTTTGCTAGCTGCAGCTGCTTTCATGTCATCCCTGATTGAAGCCTTAYGAGGCTTCGCATTATCCTCCTGAATGAAAATCTGCAGAGGATTACGACTGGATCCCCTTGGCCACTTCTCGTRGATTGCAGGCAGTWCCTTGTCAAGTAACATCCATCTGTACACCTCTCCATYAAYATTTTGTGGTTTTGTAATCAGGGTTCCTACAGGATGGTTGGCAGAGGATCATTTTGCTGGTTGTTTAACGACAAAAGGCCAAATACCRATCTTACCATCAAACCAAGSGCGCTTGTTTGTATCCCAACATGGACAGGCAGTTGCACACAAGAACACAACCTTGGTCATATGGTTCTTTGACTTTGATGTAGACTTGGGCTCAGTTTCATCTGGTAGGAGATAGGCTGTCTGCTTTGTGCCCTTAAGATAGAACCACTTCTCATCAATATGATGGATCCATTTCAAAAAGTCGTTAAACCTGTGGTTTCCATGATCAATGTGTTTCATGATCCATTCAACTTGCTTTAGCTTGWTCTCAGGTGTCAGCAAGGGCCTGGTGCTCTGGTTGTGCTTTCATTCCCTGCAGGGCAACTGGTGATTGGATTGTAAGTTTCCTTGTGACGTTTCCAAACCCTTTAGATAGTTTTGGTTGACATGTTGAACAGTACTGCAGCATCCTTCACAGCTCCCCTCCTGAGAAGTTTGTCTTCTCCACCACTACTCCTTAGATTATGTTGGAAGAACTGTACAATTGAAATTCTTTCATTGTCTGTTAGAAGCTTGAGCTTCACTTGTGGACTTGTATCACTTGCTCTATCACTTGTTGTATGGCTTGTTGTATGGCTTGTTGTATGGCTTGTTGTATGGCTTGTTGTATGGCTTGTTGTATGGCTTGTTGTATGGCTTGTTGTATCGCTTGTTGTATCGCTTGTTGTATCGCTTATTGTATTGCTTGTTGTATCGCTTATTGTATTGCTTATTGTATCACCACTTGCCATATCACTTGCCGTATTGCTTGCCATAGTGGTGTTGCTACTACCTTCAAGGAGCTCCATTGCATCAGTTACACCAACAATCTTCTTGCTGTTTGTTGATTTACTTTAGAAAGGATCAAGGGGGGGGGAAGTGAGTTAAAACAAGCAGCAGCAAATCAAGACGACACAAAGAGAGGATGATACATCAGCAAMGCAACTGTTGGTTGATTGTTGAATCACTGTAAGCAACAGAGGCGCAAATCTCTTCGCCCTCTTAGTGGAAGCAAAGGTGTGAGGCGGGTTTGTGAATCACTCCCCCTCCTCTTAGTGGAAGCAACGGAGGCGTGAGGTGAGTGGTGAATTGCTTTCCCTCTCTTAGTGGAAGCAATAGCAGCACAAGGCAAGAAGTCAGTGGATCGCTTCCCCCTCCTGCCTCTTAGTGGAAGCAATAGAGGAGCAAGTTGCCAGCAAGTCAATGGATCCCCTCTTAGTGGAAGCAACGGAGGCACTGTCTCTTTTTGGAGCATGTACTACTACCAAACACTAGCATATCTTGTGNGCCAGCAAGTCAATGGATCCCCTCTTAGTGGAAGCAACGGAGGCACTGTCTCTTTTTGGAGCATGTACTACTACCAAACACTAGCATATCTTGTGTGATGTTCTCCAGTGGTTGTATACTGCAATTCTTGGTCAATGGTGGAAGGAAGTRGTACTATTAACAAGAAATTGGATCAGTATTGCTGATAGTAGAAATAGTAGCATCATCTTRGATGCTCCTGGAGATTATTTTTTCAYAGACTCTAAAACTGATCATTGAATTCWTTACTGCTTTGCTCTAGTAGGAGAAGGGCAGTTTATGAGCACAAAAAKATTTCAATCAAGAAGGCTCCAAATGCCAGAAAAGTCAACTGGTATGAGGACAGTGGAGGATATATACTGTCTTGTTCCTAGTGGAAACAGAGACAGCATGAGTCATGAAATTAATACTTCCATTATTTGATAGTAGTAACTGTAGCACCATTTGGCCATATGTCATTCTAACAAAGCTTTGTGACAAAGCATTCCTATCAAGGCAACAACTTCCAAGCTACAACAATCTTGAGAACCTTGGTGCTTGTCCTTTTAGTGATACTAACATTGCTCCTACCACTGATATTACTACAAACATCACAGCAAGAAGCATGGTTTGCTGCAGTACAATGCAAAAGTTACTATAATGTTTCTCAACATCATAYTTTCCTCACTGTCAGCTTAGCAAGGGGCAGCACTTCCCTCCAAGGAGGATTGGTGGAGACACAACCTTTTATGAGAGGGGCAGGCTGGTTAAGATGTTTGGTGAAAAACTGTGTCATGGTGGTTTGTTGTGTTTGTGCTTTGGTACTAGTAGTAGCAGCAGAGGCCAAAGAAGTGTCTGYCAAAGTAGACTATTTGTGTCTTTATTTCTTCTTGCTGGAGTAGGCATCAAMGACCAGCCAGTCTTGTGTAACACTTTCCATTGGGTATTTACTGTGAGGCAAGGATGGAAAATACTGGGTAAAAGGATGCATGTTTGAGACAGATACTTGCAAGAATTATTTTCTTGTACACTTTGAGGTAGTATGGCAACAAAGTACACATTACTAGTAGTAGCTTAGTAGCTTGAGACAAAAAGTTTTCARGGCCCTTGGAGAATAAAKGAGCATTTGAGGGAGAAGTCTRCAGTTACAGAGCAAACAGTTGCAGAMTTTTGTTGTCARCAGCCTTTGTTACAGCARTGCTTGCTTCTGGGAAAAGTGGTGGTCATGAAGATCTTCATTGTGTTCTTCCCAAAACAACACATTCCCAACATCCAGATCATTCATACTCACTTTGACAATGATGTTGARCAAACAAGAAARTAATGGTCTAAAAGCATTACCTCTCCCCAATAGAAACAAATGCTGATTTGCACCATGATGACCAATCTGAGGGCACACTTTCACAAAGTAATCAAACAAGGTCTGTTCAAGTGGTAGTATTAGTAGTGGGAAAGTTCACCAGTGATCAGCAGCAGCAGATGCTTTCACTAGTAAAACACACCAACATCAACATCAACAGAGTGAAGAAAGGTAGTAGTTTGAAACATTGAATGAGCACTCCAACTAACATGACATCACATCATAATTCCAATGATAATTTACCTATTGTTGTTTTTTTGTGACTTCAATCAACTACTTCCTCCTGTCCACTAGTATGAGTGTCATTATAACCAGTATTTGCTGGTCCTGAAAGAGTGTCCCCCACTTTACTTGACGTTTTTTTTAGTTTTTGACAGTTGGATTCTATGAATGACTGTGTAGAATATGTACAAACAGTACTAYCAACTAGGAATTTGTATGCACTTGATTAAAAATGAATTTTTGACACATGAAAATAGTACACCATATTAACACGGCAAGTTCAATTTTGACAGTGGTATGGTGCACCTCCTCTTTTGAATACAAATGACCAATATAAGGAAGCAAGCTATACTACTCCAAAGTATAGCCTCATAAAGAACACTATCTTGGCTATCATGTGCAAGTAGCGGCATATCAAAATGACCGTTGGAACCCTCTCAATCGGTTTAGTAAAATGAAAATCATATGCTAAAATGATTGGGTCGCTTTAAGTAGATATAGCAAGTATTTCAGACAAATTGACAATATTCAATCTTTATAACTGAATGTATGTATAATAGATCTGTTAAGCACAAAAAGAATCATTCAAATCACCCAAATATTGAGCTTATTTCAATAGAAGATAGAAGATAGAAGAGGTGCAAACTGGACACTCATAGTGGACCGGAGGAAGTACTATGTAACCTTACCGTACCGTACGGTATGATACCGTACTCGTTCTGTAAGACGTGTCACTCGCAGTCGATGTTGATGAGCAAATWGATGAGCAAATTCATAAATTCATAAAAATTAAGATACGGAGCTTGAGGCTGTAAACAGAACACAGAGGATTTTACATCTTTCAGAGCGTCATTACTCGTAGCCTTCGTGGTCCATCATGAGCGGTATTCCCTCTGAATCACAGCCAAGAGAGCCCCTTGAAGGAGAAAGTGGCGGGCATTCGCTTGGTGGTGGAGGTGCGGGTTCGAAACAACTGACTTCACAAGAGTTGCGGGAGCAGCGGCTGGCCCGCTTCGGCGGAGGAAGTTCTACACCAAAGGGGCAGGCAAAGAAAATTCTACCGAAGAGTGCACCGAGGATGAAAGGAGTGCATCCCGCTGACAAGATCTCGAAGCCGCAGCCAATCTACACTGATTCTACTCCGAAGAACAAAAGGAGCGTAACCGGTTTCGCTAACGAAAGCTGTACGAAACCTTCGATGACTGCTGAGGAAACAACCCCCATCCCATCACAAAATCGTATAGAACCTTTTGTYGCAAGCAAAGGCGATAATTACAAACGAGAAGATGATCAGACTGTGAAGCATAGCAACATTCGTAGCAATATAAAAGATAACAAGACATTGGACTCGGACAGCATTGTGTCTTTCGACACGGACCAATTGGCACTGCTGATGCAGGAAGAAGAGGATCTGCAACGTGCTATTGCAATGTCAATSGGAGCTCCCATACCTTCATCGACTGGACCAATGAATTGTGGTGATATTGACCCGTTGCCTGTTTCGGATGGCATCAYAGAAGGAAAACAGTCGCAGACTACGATCAGCAACGATATGTTGGCTACTGCAGCGATGGTCGTTGCAACAGCACCAGCGACAACTACACCGATAACACCAACAACTCCAATGCAGATTGATGAAGAGAACCATGACGTGGTGATGAAAAATGAGGATAGAGAATCGCCAATGGTTGAATSCAAAGCAAACGCTGATCCTACCACGGCACCGGCTTCTCCTAGTCGGATTTGCCTCAAGGACCCTAGACATCTTTCTGGTAGAGTCCTCACCTGGTACATGACCGCGGCACCCTTCAATGTCCTCGATTTTCACGACTGCATGTGGGACAAGGATGTGACCGTGGAACATGATCAAAAGCGGTGGTTGGCTCAGGGGATTCAATTCAAGCACGAGCACGGCGATGGCAATACATCTTCGACCAGGGTGGCAGCGGGGACTCTCACGGCGACAAACGAGACCACGGATACGTCCTCGTTGCTCGCAGCGATTATTTCTGGCCCCGGAGGTGAGTGTTAGCTATGTTTAGACACGAAAAATTCGGCATGAAAAGGATCACCAATCTTTATCAGTTCTTKTCTTTCTGTCATTGTCCCTGCATAATTTTGCCTCACATGACATCCCAATTCCCCTCTATYGTGCTTTTGCTTTGCTCCTGTTCTAGTTTGGTGTCTGACACAGCAACATGGTGGACCCTGTGGCGTTTTGGCGTCGATTCAAGCGGAACTTCTAGCAATTTTGTTGTTTGGTCCCCGAACCGTACATCCACTTTCGATGATAAGCATTGATTTTCCAACGAGTTTATCGACAGAATTCACTATGGCTGCACCAGATATGTCACGGTCGAAAATGAGGCAAGTCCTGGCGTTAAGCATGGGAATGATACTGGCAAGAGCCAGCCTGAAACCCTCGGCAGCCTTGGAAGACGATACCAACCGCGAAAATCGAAACAACGAAAATGTCGATGCCAAAGAAAACGACAGCCATCCAATGTGCCTTTCGCGTCCAGAACCAACTGTGACCTTAATCCTACCTAAAAACGAGTTATGGAAAACCACGAGTCATTTGGAATGGGAACATTTAGAACCGTGGAATGACAAAGAGGGAGGCGGGGGTMTGTCAGAGCACTTGCTAAAATACACAATATCTCTGAACAAGAACCCTTCCACAGGGGAAATCGACAAAACTGCGGTAAAACGGCAAAAGCACAACTCTGATATTGATATGGACGAAACTTGTAGAGAGCTGGCTCACGCGACAGCTGAGTTCCTGTTAGAAACGAACAGTCTGGATTGGTTCCAAAGATCTGGTGGGGTATTATTAATGGTTATGAGTCTTGCTGCCAGTAGAGGTATTCCCATGTTGCAGGGYGATATGGACGATGTTACACGAAAATTAACAACCAGGTTCGGATATTGYTCACAAGAGCTGATAAATCTTTTGCTTGCGGGACAGGGAGGTACGTTCTGGCACGCTTGATATGATCACAATAGGGATTCATGGACTCATATCACTATACTCTATTGAAGCGCGACACGTGAAAATGGTTGAGAAAAWTGCGTTGTGCRCTCATCCTTTTTTCAACATCGTTCCAATATGTCTTCGCTCCATTTAAAAAAAAGTCTCCAACGTTTTCGATCACACGCAACGACTATCAGAAGAAATGGTTTTTCGTGGAATCCAGTCCCAACCATCGATTGGATACCTGACGCAAGTCGAAGCGACTGGACATTTGGAAGTAGGCGGGTTTTACAAGACTCCTCGTTTTCCAGTTTGGGTCATCGGGAGCACGAGTCATTTTTCAGTAATGTTTGGGGATGGGAGTGCACTAAAAGAGTCCACTTCGGATGTACTGCTTGATAAAGTTAGACGTGCCTTCAAAAGAATGGGAGGCGGTGCCGCTGAAAATGGGGTGATGCAGAGCAACCAACTAGGGGAGTTCTTCAAGAATGTTGGTTTGAATAATATATCTGATAATGAGGTGCAGATGCTCGCAGCGTTCATGGATAGGTTTGGCCAAGGAATAATACTCTGGGATGATTTATGGAAGAGAACTAGCCGACTACTTACTGGTGCAAGTATCGGATCGATATTGGACGGAACAGACGATACACACGATTGCAACAGAAGTAGCAGCAACGCTTCGGCAGTGACGGGTGATAGTAATGCAGCCACAATTCATGTGCCCACACGTGATCGCCCTCTATCAGATGAAGAGTTAGCACGAAAATTACAGGCGGAATGGAATGGTACAAGTATAGAAAATGTTGCTTCCCCATTCCCAAAACCCAGTGTTACAAAAGGAAAAAATGATATACCTGTGGCTCGCGAAAAGTTTGGACGCACCTTTCAACTATATCACTATAATGGTTTAAGAGGTGGYTACTTTAAGCCCTTTCGGGTAACAAGGCTGAGTGCAGACGAAGCTATCGGAGCAAGCATTTCTTTGGGTGGTTCTAATCAGATGTCATTTGGTGCTGGAGGGTTTGAAGAAGGGTTAGACTCTGTGCTACGTACGAAATGGCCAGATTGTAAGATAAATTGGCTTGGKGGATCTCCCCCAAGCATACATTGATTTCCTTCCCTGCCTTGCGACTAGCAGATTCATTCAACCGAAAAAAAAGGAAGAAAATATTTAAAATCTGAAAAATATTTCTATGGGAGGTCGAGGCGGCGACGGGAAAAAATTGAGTCAGAACTTCAGTTGGCAACATGCAACGGGAAAAGAAGTAAATTTTTGTTTTTTTGAACGACCCAATGGGTGATTCCTGTTAATCTAGATRATCTAAAAACTAGATACTATACTTTTGATYGCTCAGATTTTTGTTGAAAGGAAGGAATCATTAAAAAGTGGGAGGTTCTTTTTTGGCACTCAGCCATCACCAGCAGTAAGGGTTGGTGGAACAATCTTAATTAAACAACCAATGGAAACTGATTAAAGCTGTGTGAGTARTTTGCACAAGAAGTTGTGCCAGTAGTTTTCTAGCATGTAACTAATACTTAAATTTTATTCATGGGTTCCAGTTTAGATTTAGATTGTCTATGAAGGGTGAAAAGACCTGTGCTACTAGTAGTCGATCAAAAAATGTCATCTACTACTAGTACACANGAAACAAATGCTGATTTGCACCATGATGACCAATCTGAGGGCACACTTTCACAAAGTAATCAAACAAGGTCTGTTCAAGTGGTAGTATTAGTAGTAGTGGGAAAGTTCACAGTGATCAGCAGCAGCAGTACTAGATGCTTTCACTAAAACACACCAACATCAACATCAACAGAGTGAAGAAAGGTAGTAGTTTGAAACATTGAATGAGCACTCCAATTAACATGACATCACATCATAATTCCAATGATAATTTACCTATTGTTGTTTTTTTGTGACTTCAATCAACTACTTCCTCCGGTCCACTAGTATGAGTGTCATTATACTACGTCACAAAAAGTGTTCGCAAGCAGTAGCGACCGCTCGCAACCTTTTTTTTAAAAATACACACCCTTTTTTATTTTCACGCGCCCACTGAACCTCACGCATAGCATGGTTTTGGTCGCGTTCAAACACAACCATAGTTGCGAGAGTTGCGTATGGTTGTTATGGAAAACCAGTTTTATTTCCGTTCCGAGGTAGAAGCAACCCTGAGTCCCACCACTGTTATGCTCACCGTTGTTTTGCCAGAAATTGTTCACAATTAAAAAACACGTTGAACCGTATTCCTATGCTTTCACCAAAATCTGAGTAGTCCACGGTGCCAGCCTCTTCTCTCTACTGCGTCGCCATTTGTATTCATCATGATTAGATTTAAACGACGACGTTGTGTCTTGTGTGCGTATTGAAACCATTCACACATTCACTATTTGAAATCCAAACAAAACAATCGTGTTCGTAATCCGTTGTTTTACAAACAAGCATCATTTCACAATTTGCAACAACACATTACCGCTRRTCATCMATTGTTCACTKCCATTCTMATCATATTTGTTTGTTAGTACAGCACCGCAACAATGAAGTCATCGGAACCCAAGAATTCTTCACGAAAAAAATCTATCCATCGATCTATCAAGACGGAAGAAGTTCATCGAAGAGCTTTGCTCCACCACGCATAAGGATCTTATTTCCTTGTGTGACACAGACGAGAAGCTTAAGGAACACAAGAGCGAAATAGACAGGATCTTCGACACTCATGTAGCAAAACTAAATCAGGGTAATGTCCAGGACATGGTTGACGATTTGTATGTTTCAACCTACAAGACCATTACATGCATGGAGGCAAATCAATTGGCCCTAACATCGGCTTACAAGAAATTGAATGATGTCTTGGTACAAGCAACTCAATGGGGAGACAATCACAATGTCGAGTCTTTCTCAAAGAAATGTCCGGAATGGGCCTTTTTTTTTGCTGATGTTGTAGTGTACCTTGAGAAACTCAAGGCCTCCATTCCTTATCATCAAGACATCTCAAGAGTGTGTATGATTCGAATCTGTGACTGTATTGAGGCGCTTGACAAGAAAGGTGTCTCAATCCATGTCATCGAATCTCTCCTGGATACAATTCACAAGTCCGTCTCTGACATCAACAGCTGCAGCAGTCAAACTTGCATGCTTCTGAATATGCTGTTCCACCTGTGTACTAAAGCGAACTTGTGTCTTCAATCTGATCCAACGCAATCCAAACCCGAAGAACATTTATTGGATCTTCTCCGGGAATGTGAGAAACTTACGGTCACCAAGAAGGACCACAACCCCCCTCTTTTCAACTCCTCTGGCGGAACAGACGACTTGGTCTCAAAGTGGAATCAGGCAAAAGAAT